GGGTGGGGTGGGGTGGTGGAGAGGGATGTGATACTTTCCCAGTATGATGTTGCTAGAGTTTGGGGTCTATTGGATGGAATTCTTGGCTAGAGTCCTCTGTCTGTTCTTAAGAAATGCCTGGAACTTGAAGCGCTTGTGTACAAATTATTTAGCCCTCTTTTTTAAAATAGGGGAGACAGAGAATGCTCACCCAGTGGGTCCTTGGAGAAAGGGAATGAATGAGAAAGGGAATAAGTGAAGAGTCTAAATGAGGAAAGAAAGGAGAGAAGAAGCTAGAGAAAACTAGAGAAAAACAAGAGATTTGTAGCACCACTGACTGCACTAAGGGGCATGAGTGGAGAATGGATAGATCCCATACTCACTCTGAATCCAGCAGGGGACCAGAGACTAACACAAGAAAACCACCGATACCAACTCTGTATAATTAAACACTGAACTCAGAGGCTGATTATGGATAGGGTTGTAGGAAATGATCCAGGTCCTCATGAAATTCAGGAGCAGGGAACATCCGGCCTGCGGGTCATATAAGGCCTGCTAAATCACTTGGTCTGGCTCTGCCAAGCCAACTGTAGTTCCAGCCATTACATTAGGGATGAGTTAATGAAACGTTTGGCCAAATATAGCAAGCTAAGTTTTAATTTGATAATTTTGTATGTCCTGTGAATGATGTTACAAATTGTGGCAGAAAAAAGATTCCCCACCCCTGATTCAGATGGACAAAGGACAGGGTGCCAGGAAAGGTTGAGTGGGAAGAGACGGAAATGAATGTGGTATTTGTAGAAGTTGTTACATAAAAGACTTTTATGAAGCAAGCAATAACAGGTGTGCTACATGCCATGAAGACTTGAATAAAAGGAAATGGGTTTAGGATATACAAACAAAAGACATGAAAGCAGGGAACTCAAAAAAGTACTGTCACACCAATATTTATTGTTGTATTATTCACAAAAGTCCAAAGGTGGAAACACCTCAAATGTCCACCAACAGATAAACAAAATGTGGAGCATGCATACAATGGAATATTGTGCAGCCGTAAATAGAAATGAAATCCTGATAGATGGCTCCAATATAGTCCAACCATGAAAACATTAGGCTGAGTGAAGTACAGTAGACACAAAAGGAGAACTATTGTATGGCAACACTTACATGAAATACCTAGAATAGACAAATGCATAGAGACAGAAAGTAGTAGTCACTAGGAACTGGGGGAGGGAGGGCGTGTGGGGAGGAGAGGAGAAATGGGATATCATTGCATAATGGATAGAGTTCTGTTTGGGATGGTTGCAGAGCATTTTGAATAGAAGTCATACCACTGAATTGGAAACTCAAGATGGTTAAAATGGTCATTTTTTCTGCTGTCTATTTTTTACCCTGATTAAAAGAAACAGGTTTAGCTTTCAGCAAGCAAGATTTAGGATAGACAAAGAGAGCCATTGATGCTGAAAGAGGAACTAAGAGGGAGGAAGCACTTCAGATGTGGGCTTTTCTGGGTTCTGGATTGGGGGATACCCAAGTAGTGAGCTGGAGTGATGCTCCTGACCTTTGAGGACCTTGATTCTTTCTTGATCGTCTTTTTTTCTCCTCCCCAGCTCATAGATGGGACTGTCAAGAATGAGAAGTCTAACCCCAAGGTAAAATTGAAAAATGATGACCGTATCACTCTGGAGGGTTCCACTAAGGAGAAGGTGAACAACATTTCCATTCTGCTGAAGGATGTGGAATTTATGGACACTGGCATATACACCTGTCATGTGAGGAACCCCAAGGAGTACAATCTTCAGCACCAGGCTGCCATCTTCCTCCAAGTCGTTGACAAACGTATGCAGTAGGGACTGGGACAAGGGCAGTGGGGTGGGAAGATTCAGAAGGGGTGCCAATTCAGTGTTAAAGTGAAATGTAAAAACTGACATGTTGGTGCTTTCTTTCACTTTGTGTTTTCAAGAACTATAGAAATCTCATCTAGAGGCTAGAAGAAATCAATTTGAATGCTTGTTCTGTTACTTGATAGTTTGTGAATCCACTTGCTGTTGTTGTTAACTGCCATCAGGTCAGTACTGACTCACAGTGACCCTATGTACAACAGAATGAAATCCTGTCCGGTCGTGTGCCAACCTCACAATCATTGCTACATTTGAACCCATCACTTCTGCCATTGTGCTAATCCATCTCGTTGGGAGTCTTCCTCTTTTTCTCAGACCCTCCACTTTAGCATACATGATATTCTTCTCCTGGGATTGGTCCCTCCTGACAGTATGTCTGAAGTATGAGAGACGAAGTCTGGCCATCTTGGCTTTCAGGGAGCATTCTGGCTGTACTCCTTCCTACACAGATTGGTTTGTTCTTTTGGCAGTCTGTGGTACTTTTAATATTCTCCTCCAATTTCATACATACCTCAAATGCATCAATTTTTCTGTGGTCTTTCTTATTCATTGTCCAACTTTCATGAGGTTATTGAAAATACCATGGTTTGGGTCAGGCGCACGTTACTTCTCAAACTGACATCTTTGCTCTTCAGCACTTTAAAGATATCTTATGCAGCAAATTTGCCTAATGCAATACGTTGTTTGATTTCTTGACTGCTACTTCCATGAGTGTTGATGGTTGATCTGAGAAAAATGAAGTCTTTGACAACTTCAATCCTTTCTCCATATATATGGATGTTATTTATTGGTTAGGTTTTCTTATGTTGAGGTGCAACCCATACTGAAGGCTGTGGTCTTTGATTTCATCAGTAAGCGTTTTAAGTCCTCTTTACTTTCAGCAAGCAAGGTTGTATCATCTGCATATCGCAGGTTTTTAATGAGTCTTCCTCCAATGCTGATGCCACACTCTTCAGATAATCCAGTTTCTCGGATTATATGCTTCAGCATACAGATTGAATAAGTGTGGTGAAAGAATATAACCCTGTCACACACCTTTCTTAATTTTAAACCACTCAGTGTTCCCTGTTCTGTTTGAACAACTGCCTCTTGGTCTGTGTACAGGTTCCTGATGAGCACAGTTAAGTGTTGTGGAATACATTTTCCGCAATGCTGTACATACATTTTTATGATCCACACAATTGAAATCTTTTGTGTATCAATAAAGCACAGGTAAACATCTTTCTGGTATTCTCTGCTTTCATCCAAGATCCATCTGATGTCTGCAGCAATATCCCTTGTTCTACATCTTCTTCTGAATCTGGCTTGAACCTCTGGAAGTTCTCTGTCAATGTATGCTTGCACCTGTTTTTGAACGATCACTTGCAAAATTTCACTTGCATGGGACATTAATGATATTGTCAGATGATTTCCGCATTTCGTTGGGTCACCTCTCTTTGGAATGGGTACAAATATGGATCTCTTCCAATCAGTTGGCTAGGTAGTTGTCTTCCAAATTTCTTGGCATAAATAAGTGAGTGTCTCCAGTGCTGCATCAGTTTGTTGAAAGATTTTAATTTGTATTCTGCCAATTCAGAGAGCCCTGTTCTTTGCCAATGTCTTTAGTGCCCCTTGGACTTCTTCCTTCAGTACCATTGGCTCTTGATCATATGCTACGTCTTGAAGTGGTTGAAAATAGATTATTTCCTTTTGGCACAATGACTGTATTCTTTCCATCTTCTTTTGATTCTTTCTGCTTCATTTAGTATTTTGCCTGTAAAATCATTCAGTATTGCAGTGGAGGCTTGAATTGATTCTTCAGTTCCCTCAACTTGAGAAATGCTAAGCTTGGTCTTCCTGCTTGGTTTTCTAACTCCAGGTCTTTTCACATTTTGTTATAATATTTGATTTTGTCTTCTTGAACTGTTTTTTGACATTTTCTATTCTGCTCTTTTACCTCCTCATTTATTCCATTTGCTTTAGCATCTCTATGCTGGAGAGTAAGTTTCAGAGTCTCTTCTGATAGCCATTTTGGTCTTTTCCTTCTTTCTTGTCTTTTAAATGAGATTTTGCTTTCTTCCTGTATGATGTTCTTGATGTCATCCCACAACTTTTCTGGTATCTGGTTTCTAGTGTCTAATGCATCAAATCTTTAAATTCAGGTGGGATATGTTTATGGTCCTATGTTGGCTCTTGTGGATGTCAGCCTGAACTTGCACATGAGTAGTTGATGGTCTTTCCCACCATCTCTTGTCACAGATGTAGTCAATTTGATTTCTGTGTATTCCATCTGGTGAGGCCATGTGTTGTCAACATCATCTTTTATGTTGTTTAAAAAAGGTATTTGTGATGAACAAGTCATTGGTCTTACAAACTTCTGTCGTGGAATATCCAACATTATTTCTATCACCAAGGCCATAGTTTCCAACCACTGATTCTTCCTTTTTGTTTCCAACCTTACATTCCAATTACCAGTAATTATCAATACATCTTGAGTGCATGTTTGATCAATTTCAGACTGAAGAAGTTGGTAGAATTACTCAATTTCATCATCACTGGCTTTGGTGGTTGGTGTGTAAATTTGAATAATAGTGGTGTTAACGGGTCTTCCTTTTAGGCATATGGATATTGTCCTATCACAGACAGTGTTATACTCCTTGACTGATCTTGATATGTTCTTTTTGATAATGAATACAAAGCCATTCCTCTTCAATTTGTCATTCCTAGCTTAGTAAACCATATGATTGTCAGAGTCAAAATAGCCATTTCAGCTCACTAATGCCTAGGCTATCAATGTTTTTGTGTTCTATTTCATTTTTTACAATTTCAGTTTTCTTAGATTCATATTTTGTGAATTCCATATTCCAATTATTAATGGATATCTATAGCTGTTTCTCTTTATCTTGAGTTGTGCCCCATCAGCAACCGAAGGTCCCGAAGACTTAACTCCATTTGCATCATCACTATCAACTCTACTTTGAGGAGGCAGCTCTTCCCCTGTCTTATTTTGAGTGCTTTCCAACCTGAGGGGCTCATCTTCCAGTACTATATCGGCCAATATTCTGGTGCTCTTCAACATGTTTCAATATTCAATATTCTGGTGCTTATAATGTTTCACTGTTATTCATAAGGTTTTCAGTGATTAAATATTCTAAAGTAGTTCATTTCTCCTTCTTCCTAGTCTGTCTTCATCTGGAAGCTCAGCTGAAACCTGTCCACTGTGGGTGACCCTACTGGTATTTAAAATACTGGAGGCATAGCTTTCAGAATCACAGAAACATGCAAGCCACCACAGTATGACAAGCTGACAGATGAGTGGTGGTGTGAATCCACTTAGCTTCTCATTTTTTCTCATCTAAAAAATAGGAATATGGTTGTATTCTCCTCAGGTTGTTGTAAGAATTAAAGAAGTTATTGGAGGTGTTTTTCATGACTATTAAAACTCTCTTTATCTATTCTGATTATTATTACTATTTTGTGTACTCCTTTAACAAATGTTGATTGAATGTCAAAATTCAATGAATGATATATCATGTTTTTCTTTGAGGAGATTACCATTTAGGATAAAGCAGAATGCAGGTAAACACATAACTGAAATAAAGGCAGATCATAATAATACACAAGGAAAGGCACAGAAAAATAGAGATTGAACAAGAGATGGCTGTGCCCTCTGGGAGCTTATATTCTACTTGGGTGATTCCAGACACAGATGGAATCATTAGACAATGAGAGTGGATATGATAAGGACCTTAAATGCTGAAGGGACTTATGGAAGGGGAGCTGATAACAAGGAGAAGTTCGATTGGGCTTCTTGGAGCAGAGGAACCTAGAAGGGTAGGCAGGTACAGAAGCAGAGAGAAAGGGTGAAGGATTTTGGTTCTGTTGCATTTTGTATGTCCCTGGGGACTCACTGTTCTCCTGGATGATGGGTAATACCTGTTGAGGGAGACATCATGGGTTTGGTTTTGACCTTGCTAAGGATAGAATACTTTTGGGAATCCTGGTGTGGGGTTGTGGGTTAATGTGCTGAACTCCAAGGTCAGTTTGAATTGTAAGGCCGGTGGTTAAACTCAACAGCCACTCCTTGGAAACCCTATACAAGGTCTCTAAGATTCGGAACCAGCTCGATGGCACTTAACAACAACAAGGACAGACCTGGAGGCCATCTGGGCAGCTTACTCTAAGCCTAGAGTGGTCTGAATCAAGTCCACTTACAGTGGCACCTCTTCTGTCTGGGCTTCTGCCAACTTACTTGGTGCTTAGCCTTCTTGGGAGGGAGAAGAAGATGGAAGAGAGCCAACATTTGTGAATGCCAAGGTCTGGGTTAGGAGCTCTCATTCACCTTAGTTCCTTGGTTCCTTATAAAGTCCATTTGAGGTGAGTCTTCTCCACATTTTTGTAGGTGACTTCATCCATCTACTCAAAAAATATTTACTGAGCACCTATTATGTGGCAGACATTTTTCTAGATGCTGACAGGCAAATTTCTGCCTCATGGAAATTATCTTCTAGTTGAGGTGGGAAGGAAAGATGTAATAATCAAAATAAATAAGAAAATTACATTATATAATAGAGCAGGGTAAGTACTAGGAGAAAAAATGTAGTCCCTGAGAGATACAAACAGTTAATACTCAGCTATAAACCGAAAGGCTGATGGTTCAAGTGGATTTGAATCTAGAATACCTTGGATGAAAGGCCTGGTGAAAAATCTTCTGAAAAGTCAGCCACCGAAAACTCAATGGATCACAGTCTTACTCTTATCATACTCCATGACACACATGGAATTGCTAGGAGTCAGAATCAACTTAATGGTTTTGGTTTTATGTAAAAAAATAAAGGTAAAGGAAATGGGGTTCCAGCAGGGTGACTAGGAAAGAACTCACTAGAAAAAGTAGCATAGAGTGAGAACATTTGAATGAGGTCAGAGGAAGCCATGAGGATATATCTTTGGGAAGATTTTTCAGGCTGAAGGGACAGCAAGCAAAAAGGCCCTGAAGAAGATGTCTGAGGTATAATGAGGAGGCCAATATGGCGGGAGCAGGTTGAGTAGTAAGAGATGGGTCAGATAGGACCAAGTTGTGTGGGGATCTTGTAAGCATGAATGAAATGAGAACCAATGGAGGATTCTGAGCAGAGGTGTTAGTGCTGTAGCAGGCTCACTCTGGCTGCTGTGCGAAGAATGGAGATAATCATCCAAGTGGGGATACCAGTTAGGAAGTGACTAGAGACATCCAGTGATAGCTTAGGTGAGGGGAATAGTGAGCGGTCAGATCCAGATTTATTTTTTTACATTACAGCCATTGGGACTGCAAAGGCCATTTGAACCACAAGGTTGGCGGTTCAAGCTCACCAACCGCTTCTTGGAAACCCTATATAGGATTGCTGTGGGTTGGAACTGACTAGACAGCACTTAACAACAAAACAAGAGCCATCAATTTCTGTGGTGGATTGATATGGGGTTTGAGAAAAAGGAAGGAATCAAGGATGATGCCAATTTTGGGTTGGATCAATTGGAAGGATGGAATTGTTCTCTTGGAGATGGGGAAGTATGGGTGGGGAAGGTTTGGGAAAAAGGAGCTCAGTTTTTAGATGAGGAAATTGAGACCTGCCCAAGGTTACCAGCTAGTAACAGGCCTAGCTGATGCCAAAGTCCTCCCTCCATATCACAGAGTGATTCTTCATTGTTTTCTGCACTGGCAAAACAGACTTTGAAAGATGCAATGAAATTCTCACATGGTGGCTTGGGGGCTAATTCATGACTAAATAGGGGTCCTGTGGGCCCTGAGTCTGTACTATTTCAGAACTTGTGTATGTGTCTGTGGGAGGGTGTTTGTGGAGAGGGTGATAGGATGTTGTATCTTAGCCTAATGGACACCATGCTATAAGGCCTAGGGAGGGTGGACATGTCCCAGATGCCAGAGAGTTGTATCAGATTGGAGGCTGCACAGCCTTGGTATGGTCATGGTACTCAACTCCAGGTGACTCCTACTCTCTTGTCTTCTTCTTCCTCTCCCTACTCTGGCTATCCAGTGGAGGAAGTGGACAACACAGTGACAGTCATCATCCTGGCGGTCGTGGGTGGAGTCATTGGGCTCCTTGTCTTCATCCTACTCCTCAAGAAGCTCATCACCTTCATCCTCAAGAAGACTCGAGAGAAAAAGTGAGTTGGCTATCGTAGCAAGCTTCTATCCTCCCTGTAACCCACCATCCACTCTTATCTCAGGAGTGTTCCCAGCATCCTCTTCACCTATTTCCTGTTATTCTCCTCATTATCTTTAATCCTCACCTCTCTCTCATCCTACCCTCTTGTCCTAATTCTACCACTTTCTTTCTTATCCCTGAAAACATCTCACAGAGTTTCTCCTCACCTCACCTCCTTCATTCTTCCAGTGTGTATGAGGGGGCTTTAACCTGCTTGTGGAACACTGGAATGAAAAGATAATGGAATTTTTTTCACAAAGTTTCTGAAGCCCCTCATATTTATTAAATGAATGGATCATGAACCCCACAATCCACTTCTTCTTCTTCATCTCACTTTTTTCCTTCCCATTCTATTAGCCCCTTTCTTTCCATTTCTCCCACCCAAGCCTAAAGTCTATGAAAGGATTTATAAAATTCCATGTACAGAAACTACAAAAAGGAAGACCCTTCTGAGAATATGGAAGTCTCTTAGTATAAAATTCTGAAAATTCAAATGGGGCAGACAAAAAAAAAAAAAAAAAAAAAGCCAATATGACCTCCCATGAAACTCTAGGATAAGTCCAGTTATAAAAATAGACATTTTAAGAGAAGGGGGAAGAAGAGATGGGGTGAGGTACAGAGGGTGCAATTTCTTCCCTAGAACTGCCAGAATAGTGTCACACAGGTTTCAAAGTAGGAGGTGGTGATTCTTGCAAAATCAGAGGGAGGAAAAGGCATTTGGAGTTGTGTTCCGAGCAAGAAAGCTGAGATGAGACAGGCTTGTCATTGGAACAGAGGATGATAGCAACAATGAGATGCAAAAGGGTTAGGAGAACATCTTGGCTCCTATATGCTTGATTCTGCTCTGTCAAGATGAGGGAATTAAGCTAGAAGGGGAAGAAATTACACTGGTGAGAGGGAAAGGAGGCTGAAGGCCTGGAATGGGATGTTAAGGGAAGAGCATCTCAGGTACTGACTGAGGAAAAGTACTCATGGTGTCTCAGTGCACCATGGCCAGAGGTTATGAGGTTCTTGGAAAACTTGAGAGGGACCTGGAGAGTTTGAGAGAGACCTGAAACATTGAGCTGGACCAAATTCTGTCTTTAATAACCAGTGTTACTGTTGATAGCAAAGTTGGAGAACAAACTATTGAACATATAACTTAAATCACTTTGAAAAGGAAACAGTGATTATTGGGATCCACCTTAGGTTCATCAAGAACAAGCCATGTTTAACATTTTCTTGATCAGGTACTGGTGGGTCAGGAGATTGCTACAGAGAGAACAATACCTTTAAAACTTAACCTGTTGCTACTGCACCCTACTGACTCATTAGGTTCATTAATTCATTCAATGGCTATTTTTAAGGTACTGTGTGCAAGGCACTGTTCCAGGTGCTGTAGGAAATTCTAGAAGAAATGAGATTTTGTCCTTAAGGAAGATGTGTACACTATAGCTGTAACGCAAGATAGAAGGATTTGGTTCCAGCAAAGAGGTGTACAATGTTGCAAGTGTTCAGAAGCAGGTGACATATGGGGCTATTGTATTAATTTGTGCTGAAACAAATTACCACAAGTTGGTGGCTTTAAACAGCAGAAATTTTTTATCTCATAGTTGTGGAGTGTCGGGGACCTGCCTCGACAGGTAAGTTTGGTTCACGAAGTAGGGAGATCTGGCGGCAAAAGAGATAGAGAAAGAATATACACAAAGACACAACGAGAGGAAAAAAAGGAGACACTCCGAGACCAGAGTGGATGCAAAACTGGCAGGCAGAACCTGGATTGCAGGCATCATGGCCCTGCAGGCAGTAATGCATTCAGGATTCAATCTGCGTCCATCTTTTATTTCAGGGAGGGATTTTACACAAAGGAAGAAGGGGATTATTAAGACAGGGTACAGAAATGAAATGTGATTAATCACTCAAAACAGGACACAATGATTTACAGGAACAAATTCTAAAATTGTTGTTGTTGTTGTTATGTGCCGTGGAGTCGGTTCCAACTCATAGCGACCCTGTACAGGGTTTCCTAGGCTGGAAATCTTTACGGGAGCAGAACATCTTTCTCCCGCGGAACAGCTGGTAGTTTCGAACTGCTGACCTTGTGGCTCACAGCCCAATTCGTAACCACTACGCTACCAGAGCTCCTTAAATTCTAAAATATACATCGCAAATTGTCTTAATTTAACATTCTTAATTTTCCAAAAATTCAAGCAAACTGTTATAAATTACTTTTTTGGCTCAAATCCTAAGGAAACGACTTGAGGTTTCTCGAGGCTAATTAACATACCTATAGCGCTTAATCTCTAATGGGTAAAGGTGAAAAGGATTTAAAAGGTCTGAAGGGAGTCAAGCTGTTTCAGCTACCTGGCTTAAGCTTTCAGGAGGAAGGAGGAGGTCTGGGTTAATGGTTTACACCTGGGGATGATTTGAGGAGGTTGTCACTATTATTCTTTGAACAATACTCTGGAATTCGCCAATCTACTTTGAGTGAATTCCTTGGGCGGATTGTCTCCAGAGCTCTTTGTGGAATCCCAGCAAACCTGCCTTTGGAACTTTTACGGCCTCAGCTTTAGAAGAGGTTTTTGTTTTAATATTTGTCCATGGGTATCCAGGGCTCATGTATTAAGTTAATATCAAACATAACTGAATAATTTGATAAAGAACAGTTTGGACATGCTTGCCAGGTGGCCAGAGTTTGTTCCTCAGAGAGATTTGTTCCCAGGACCCTATGCACTGCCAACACAGTGGAGACATTAAGAGAGGCACATAAGAAACCATTTTCTCAGAAGCTACAATTACTGGAGTTAGAAGCATAGAATGAATAATAAGACCAAAGAAAATTATACAGAGATAGCCCACCAGTGAGTTCGCAAAAACCAATGAACCCGGGATGTCTGGAGGACACTTCCTTGGTCCTCAGGGTCCATGTGAACCTGGGACACCAGGAGGTCACTTCTTTGGCCCTCAGGGTCCCTGGCTAGCAATCCTGAGTGGGGCCTTCGTGTTGGATTTTCGTTCATTACACAGGGCCTCAGCATCTCAGTGCTTGCTTGTGGTCCCCAACAGTGGAGGATAGAAGTCTAAACACAAGGTTCCACACTCCCTCTGTAGGATCTAGGGATGAATACCATCTTACCTCTTCCTAGCTTATAGTGGCTCTTGGCTATCTTTGATGTTCCTTGGCTTGTAGCTGCGTCACTCCACTCTCTACTTTCATCTTCATGTGGTCATCGTCTCCAAAACCTCTTGCTCTCTTCTTTTCTTACAAAGACATCAGCCATTGGACTTAGAGCTTACTCTAAATTCAGGATAATTTAATTTTCAGATTTCTAATTAGAGTCCCCTAAAATTCATGTCTACTCAGAACCTCAAAATGTGACCTCATTTGGAGACAGAATCTCTGTAGATATAATTAATTGGTGGTTACATGCCATGGAGTTGGTTCTGACTCAAAGCAACTGTGTACAGGGTTTCGGAGGCTGTAAATCTTTATGGGAGCAGAAAGCCTCATCTTTCTTCAGCGATTTCTCAGTAAAGACTTACGGACTATGTGAGAGCACAGTTAAGTGGATCAGTAATATGCAGGGGACCTATATCTTAGTTCAGCTGATTTCAGGATTTGCTTTAGAGGTATGCCGTAGACCTCTGTCTGTTCATTATTATTATTAAGATTTGAATTAGACTAGGGATGACATGGAGTCCTGGTGTGGTGCTGTGGGTTAATGCGCTGGGTTGCAAGGCCATTTGAACAGCAAGATTGGTGGTTCAAGCTCACCAGCTGCTCCTCGGAAACCCTATATGTGAGTTGGAACCGACTCTACAGCACTTAACAATATCAGTAACAACAACAACAACAAGGGACTCCTGGTGTGGTGCTGTAGGATACGCACTAGACTGAAAGGTTGGTTTGAATTGCAGGGTCAGTGGTTCAAACCTACTAGCTGCTCCTCAGAAACCCTATACATGATCACTATGAGTTGGAACTGACTTGACAGCACTTAACAACAGCAACAGGGATGACATATTTATCAAGTTTCCAGAAGCAAAGTGACCATTGGTCACCACTCATCTGTCAGTTTGTCATGCTGCAGTGGCTTGTGTGTTGCCATAATGCTGGAACTATGTCACTAATATTTCAAATGCCATTAGGGTCACCCATGGTGGATGGGTTTCAGTGAAGCTTCTAAATTAAAATAGACTGGGATGAAAGATCTAACAATCTATTTCAGAAAAATAGTTAATGAAAACCCTAGGGGTGACAAGAGAATATTGTCTGATAGAGCACTCAAAGATAATGCCCCTAGGTTGGAAGGTAATAATGGACTCAGTCAGGCAAGATACTAATCATGGTTTATTATTTTGTACCTGGGGTCACCAGGAGTCAGAGCCTACTTGATGACAACCAACAACAAGAAAAGTGCAGTTGGAGTAGGGACTTGTGAAGACCCTATAGGATGTCTTCCCATCTAACCAACTTCCTTTTTGCTCCATCCCATCACCATCTGACCAGACTTGTAGCCAAACCCACTCCCTCCCCTGCACCTTTCTATGGCTCTCCTTCTTCTCTCTCTCCAAGAGAGCTCAGAGAGGAAGGGTCTGGTGGGGCCCTGGAGAAGGAGCACTTTGCCCTTGGTGTATTCCTTGCTGGCCTTGACCCTACTCAATGGGTGTTACAGACTGGAAATGACCCTGATTTGTCTTCCCCTTGGCACTGATCCCTGGGAACAGCAGCTGGCACACTTTGCCCCCGCTGTGTAGAGATGACTGGGTGAGGGCCAGCTTTCCTGAAGACTATATGTGCCAGACACCATTGCAAATGCTTACTTAACTCTTCCAGCAACCCCACAAAGAAGGTATTATTGTTACATTTGCTTTCTACATGAGGAAATTGAAGAACAGGGAGGTTGGGTGACCTGTACCATAACCTATGCCCATAATGACCTTGCTATCTTACCTCTGTAGAAGGCAAAGGGTTGGGCCCATTCCACAATATATTCATCCCTCTCAGTCTGCTCCTCGACTCCTCTCTCCCTCTCCAGGAAGGAATGCCTTGTGAGTTCTTCAGGGAACGACAATACAGAGAATGGGTTGCCTGGCTCCAAGGCAGAAGATAAACCACCCACAAAAGTGTGAGCCCCCACGTTGGGCCAAGAAGCCACAAGGAACCTCATTCTTTGAAGATGAAACTGATGCTTGAGCCTTGTCCATAGAACCCACGTGCCTGAAACTTCTGCTGCTTGGCTCCAACTGTAGTCTTCTTGGTCAGAACTTGAGAACTTTTTGGGTTCTTCCAGCCTGCTCCACTCCCTCCCCAGCCAGGGCTCCCCAGAGACAAGGTCTGGCAGGAGTGGGAGATCTTGGAAAGGACAAGGCAGGCTGGGGTGGGAAAGGGAGAGGGACCCAGTGATGGACAGTATGGAGGTGTTACCCCTCAACACCTGGGTAGATAGGTCTTCTTCAGCCTTCCCACCCTGTCTGAGCAGTACCTTGGTTTCCCTCTAGATCTCTCTTTAAGAGGGATTTGGAGGATCAGAGAGGGCTGCCTTAGGAGCTGGACCCTAGAGATGGGGCAAAGAAAGTCTTGTGTGGAGGACTAACCTTGTGGCTTTGGGTTGGGATGGGATAGGATAGAGAACACTTACAACATCTGGAGGAGGGGGTTACTGGAGACAGGGCTGCGGTGAGAGAGACAAGTCTCCCCTACAATCCCTGCAGAGTTGGAGGGTGGGAGACATAACTTTCTTCCCTTTCCCCAAACCCTGGCTTGCCTGCTTTGATCCAAGCATCCACTGTTCTGAACCCTTCTAATTCGAGCCGGCTGCCTTGGTCTTCAGGGGTATGGGTCCCCTGCCTGCTCCTCTGACCTCTATTACTGAGGAGCCTGTGAAGGCACCCTCTACCCCTCATCCACAGGGGCACTACCAGCTTTTCCTTGCTTTCCTTCTTTGGGAATCAGGACTGCTAAAGTGGCGAGCCAGTGTCCTGGCACACTCAACCACCGGCACACCCATCCCAGGCCTGCCAAACTGACAGCCCCTTCTCTTAGGCATGGCAGGGCCATTACCACCGTGGAGAATGACAGAGCCTAGCTCTCCCTTGACTCTTCTTTCCCCTGTGAAACAGCAGGTGGCGCCACCCTGCCCCCCCATGACTTGCTTTTCCTGGCCTCCACTGTCACGCCTCTCCCCCTGCCTCTAGGGTTGTTTGCCTCCTGCCCTGGGCCAAGGACTTACAGGGCCCCATGTCCTTTGAATGAAAGAGTCCTTGGGTTTTCTGACTGATTCCTGCTCAGCTATGCTATCCCCTCATCCGTTGGGAGGAGCAAGGAGAAGTGGCACACAGTTTTCATAACAACTGGTTTGAACACTCTGTGTGAGGGGCTAGACTGTGCCTTAGCTCCCTGAATCTTAGTTTATACCCTTGCTCTCTCCCTTGGACCCAAATTCTACGTAACAGCTGACTCTGTGTGGCACTGACCCAAGGTCATGAAGGAAGAGGGGTGGGGCTGGAAGTAGCTAACCTCTAGGTCAGGAACTGAGTCTTGAAGACATCTGCCAAGTGCTTCCAAATAGGAGATGGGTGGCAGTGGGAGGCAATGGTGTTGAAGTGTGTGTGAGTGATGGCAGGGAGATGTGGAAATCTACCATCTGCTATCACTCCCCCCCATTCTCCTATTGAATTTTTGAGACTCTATGCTCTGGGACCTCAGGAGAGGTGGAAGGGAGTAGCCCCCTTTTCCAAATTACACAATGTGGGGACTGCCTTAGGACTCCTCTGTTAAAAAGCAGTAGCAAGCTTCCCAGAGGGTAAAGGGGTGCCCATGGACTGTGTCCCCTGACCCTCACTCAACCCTAAAGATCTCACCAGTTCCCACTCTGATCCCTCTTGGTCCTTTACCCATAAACCATCCTGGGTTCAGGATCAGATTTTTGGGCCTTGGGAGCAGACAGACCAGAGCCACTAGTCATTCAGAATAATTCTTATAGCTGCCTTTATGTAAAATTATATTCTTCTTCCTTCCCAATGTTAACATTTGAGTAGGCAGAGCATCTTGGGACTCCTCTTACTCTCATGAGGAAGCCAAGATGACTGACTGGTTCACATAAAGTTGGGAGAGGAAGAGGGTCATCAGGGTCTTTCCACTCCTTGGTCTGGTACTGATTTGTTGTTGTCATTAAGTGCCGTTGAGTTGATTCCAATTCATAGCTACCTTGTATAGGGTTTCTGAGAAGCAGCTGGTGGGTTTGAACCACTGACTTTGTGGTTAGCAGTCCAGTGCTGATCCTACAGCACCACATGTCATATATTTTCTCTGGGCTCAGCTTTTTCCATCTCTAAAATGGGTGTAATGATACCTACCTCACAGGATTGTTGTGAGATTTGGTGAGTTTTCCTTAAAAACAAAACAAAACCTTTTGGCTTGGAGAAGGATCTAGGAGACCAGGTATTATAACTGGAAGGATTGTCCCAAGTTTGTCCTGTCCTCATAATGTGTCTCATCCTACAACACACACATCACACCATGTCATATCATATATACACTCTCTGTCTACCTTTACCCTCAGAATTATGTTAGTGTTTGTCAAAACCCCCGACTCAGATGCTTTACGTTTCTTGTTCATGACTTTTGTTTGGTGGCTTTCAATAGAACAAATTGGAACTTTAGGGGAGACATTCTGGTTGCTCCAATGCCTGGTGCAGGGCATTATTGACATTTGGAGGGTGGGGACTAAGAATGCTAAGCTTCTTATGGTGGGACAGTCCTCACAACAAAGAATTCACCTGTCCCGACATCAGGTTATTCCCATGGAGGAACATTGGTCTGGATTCACCAGTAGAACATCTTCTTATAGGCAAAGATGTCTTCCACAAGCAGATCCTGCATGCTTGCTAGTCTCCAGTGGGCTCCAGGGGCCAGTGAGGATGTCCCAGGCCTGTGGGCTGCAGTGAGACCATACTTACAGCTTGATCTTGGGAGCCCTGGACACACCCAGCTGCCCTAACAGTGAAGTCAGTAAGTCCAAGGACAAGGCATTTCCCAGCTCTCCACCTGTAACCTCAACTGAAACCAGTTGCCATAGAGTTCATTCCAACTCATGATGACTTCATGTGTGTCAGAGTAGAAAAGGGTTTTCAGTGGAAGTAGACTGCTGGGCCTTTGTTTTGAGATACCTATTGGGTACTTGGATGCTAAGAAAGGCTGAAAGACAGAGGGTAAGAGCAGCCATGTTCTCAGACTCCAGAACTCCATGACTCCATCTTACTGTTACAGCGACCATCAGAGGGGAAGCATGCTGGGGAGAGGGAGCGTAATACAGGGGACTTCTCTGGAAAATCCTATAGCTTGCTTCATTTACTTAGTCCTAGGTTGGAGTCCCTATCCTCCCATATCCTACCTGGTAAGCAGTGCTTTGACTATCTTATGCATGGTTTCTTTTCCTGGCTTGGATGACAACAATATCCACAGTCTACTTTCCTATATAACTATAAGTCAAAAGAATGCAGCAATGGTTGTTAGGCGAGGCTCAGATCTGGGTGCCTCTGAGAGGCACAGATGTGTATATGCCCAACACTGACTTGTATTAAAGCACAGAGTGGATTCAACCACACTGTCTTGCCTTTGCAACATGTTTAGAATTGTAGAACTTTATTTAGCTTTGCCTTGGATGAAATAAAAATAATGTTTAATAGAACTGTTTCGGAATTTCTTTCTTTTTTTTTTTGGTTCATTGAGAGGTTGATTCCAATTTTTGCCAGCTCTAGTTTGGACAAGTTTTTAAATTTCATTTCTTTTCTGAGCCTCAGTCTTCTTGTGTCTACAATGTTAGCTGCCTATGGGAGCTAACTTAGGGTAAGATTCGTGTGTCTAGCATAGTTCCAAAGCCTTCTCTGGAGAAGTTGGAAAGGTAGCCCACTAGTATTGGATTATTGCAAGAACCCACCCTCTACTGATGACCTCAGTAATCATTCTAGTACCAATAAGTGTCACAACACTTACAACGTCCCTTTACCCCTGCCCTCCTCTGCCCCCTAGTTGACATTTGTATCTAGATAAAATCCACTTCAAATGAACAATATGGTAAGCTTTAAAAAGGAAAAGGCACAAAACAACTTACTACTGAAAAATGTGTGCGAGCCAACTGGAGTTAATTTGGATGTTACCTCCATCTTGCTGCTTTGGGGATTAGGCTACATAGGGAGTCAGGGAGGAAGGAAGCTTTGTCTTAACCCTTCAGGGGTGATTCTATGCATGTGCATTTCATATCGGCCACTTTAAATTACTTGAACATACATTCCCAACCACTCCTGCCTTCACTGGAGAGTTTCCTGCTGCTACACTGAAGGCCAGATAGGAAGGAATCAGGAATATGTATGAGTGCATGTGTTTGCTAGTACTCTTAGACTTTTATGATGCCACAATTTCTCACTATGCTGTATCCCTCTCTTTGGTGGCTCACCTCAGATTGCATTTTTAAACATTAAGTACCTAAAAGATCTTGCTAAAAGCCTCTTCCTCCTCCTTAATCAAGGGACCCTAGCAAGGCATTTCAGAAGAGGTCTCTGTTAGCCCTGCTTTCTCCAGCCCTCATCTATAATAATTGTGTTCTGTGTCCTGAATAGTTTCCTCACCTGGGTTCCTCGTACTGCTACCCACTCACCTGTCCTCAGGTACTACTTGTTGCATGGGTTCTCCTGCCACCAGTTTCCTGACCTAAGTTTGACCTTACAACACCCTGGGAATGCTACACATTGAATATAGGCCATGTAAGGGTCAGCAGGGTCAGCCCCAAGACTCTGTTTCATTTTTACTTTCTTTTCCTACTCAACAGCCGATGTAACTGCTATGTGACCAAATGTGTTAAACTCAGACAAGAAATTGGGACCGTTCTCGACATAGGGTCATGCTAGCCCATTGTGACTCAGCCAGCACTAAAACAAAGAAGACACAAATGACACTGGCTGCTGTTGAGTCAGTTGTGACCCCATAGGACAGAGTAGAACTTCCCCCATAGAGTTTCCCAGAATATAATCTTTACAGAAGCAGATTACCACATCTTTCTCCTGTGGAGTGATTGGTGAGTTTGAACGCCCAATTTTCATTTAGCTGCTGAGCACTTAACTAGGGCTCCTTA